ATCATACACATTAGACCAGTTAGAGGAACTGTTCTCTTCATATGGCCAGATTGTCCAGAAGAATTTGCTGAAGGACAAGGTCACAGGACTTCCACGTGGCGTTGGATTTGTGAGGTAACGTTGCATTCTGCTAAAGCTGCCTTGGCTTGCTTGTTCCCCACCCCTTCTTGTTCCTTTAATTTCCTGCCCTCGTGACTCCTACCTAAGAGGGAGTTTGTGTTGAGTGTGCAGGGCCGTTTGAGTCTGCGGAGGAGGAAGAAGCTATCAAGAACAGCATCTGCTTTGAACAGCGCTGACATGGGAGGAGCCATCTCCGTGCGCACTCTGTGAATGGTTGACCACTTGTGCTTAACCTTTTTGTTGCAGGCCAACTGTGTAACCCAGATTTAGTTTTAAGTAGCATGGTTTTTGTTGTTGGGTAAATTGTTCTCTTGTCATTATAAGTGTTTGAAACAAGGCCAAATGTTTTTACTTCATTATTTATTTTGGGATGGGAGGGAGGGGGGGGGGCAGTAAGTGCATTAAGTATCAAGACTACTGCTTTGTTTTATTTTTTGGCTTTTTAATTAGTGTACAATGTTTGTGAGATTTCCTTTTTTTTTTCAATCTCCTCTTAAGTTTTTATTAGCCAGGCAGTGTTTGTACCCTCATAAGCAGTAGAAAGGAATGGAGAAGACAACATCGAAACGTCATTAACGCACTTTCTCGAAAATGTCCCGACCCCAGGTTTGATAAGAAGTCTCAGGCAGAAGCGGCGATTGTGGGCATGAATGGCGTTGTTCCTGAGGGCGGGACTGAGCCCCTAGTGGTTAAGGTAGCAGAGGAGCACGGCAAAATGAAGGCCGCCTACTACGCTGGTTACCATGCTGGCCTCAGCACCACGAGAGGTGGCGGCGGTGTCGGTAAGTAGCAGGCCGTAGTTTGTTCTTGTTCCCCCTCTGTAGGATTTCACTCTCCTCCTAGCGTAATTTCCTTTCCTCTGTGTTCTGGGGTTGGTGTTGGTGTGGTCGGTGGGCTTGGGGCGGCGCTCACTTGGCTTTCAGGTCAACGGAAGGAGACAAGGAATCAAGCCGAGGAAGTGGCCTCTAGACAATCGTAGAATTACTCTTGCTGTTGTTTGCATTCTTGTGCATATAACACACATCTATACGCACATACACACTCTTATCCACCCCGACCCCCATCTCTCCCTCTCCCTCTCCCTCTCCCTCTCTCCCTCTCCCTCTCTCCCTCTCCCTCTCTCCCTCTCCCTCTCTCACTCTCACTCTCCCTCCCTGCCCCTCCCTGCCCCTCCCTCTCCCTCCCTCTCCCTCCCTCTCTCTCCCTCCCTCTCCCTCTCCCTCTCCCTCTCCCTCCCTGCCCCTCCCTCTCTCTCCCTCCTCCCCTCTCTCTCTCTCTCCCTCCCCCTCCCCCTCCCCTCCCTCTTCCCCTCTCTCTCCCTCCCCCTCCCTCCCCCTCCCCCTCCCCCTCCCCCTCCCTCTTTCCCTCTCTCTTCCCCTCTCTCCCCACACACCCACAAATATATATATGTATGTATATATATAGTATACGTATATATATGTATATTATGTATATAATCTATATGTAAATATGTATATAAATAAATTATATAGATTTATATATGTATGGACTTTGACGTGTGTATATACATGTATTTTCCCCTCCCAATTCTCATCCTTTCTCTTCCCTTTATTTTCTCATTGAATTTTTCTCTTTTCTGTCCTCTCTCCTCACACCTCCCTTCCTCTTCCGTCCTATCCCCTCCTTTCTGTTCCTTCTTTTAGTCCCCTTTGCAGACTTCACATCTTTCCACCTCTCCTTCCTTAGCATCCATGTGAATGACATGGTGTCTATTGATAAAAGCAGGAGTTTCTTATTTATGGTTTTATTTATGACCGTAACAACTTTTGTTTCTATTACTTGTGCAAAAGGCAAGACAAACCTATGTCTATGAGAGAGAAATAAGGATTTTGACGGGATTAAAATTCGGAAATAGAAAATGGTTTCATATTAAATGAATTGAACAGGTAGCAAAAGTTACCGTAAGAATAGAGGTATATATGTATTGGGATTTTTTAGATGGCAACAAGTGACCAGCTTTTGGATAGCATTTCATGCGGCTTTCCTCTGACCATTTATTGAAGCGACTCTACAAAAAGCCTTGTCCATTGGAGAGTTATTTGATATTTATAGATGCCCTTTGTAGTTTTGAAGAATTTACATATTGTTGTGTATTTGTTTTTGTTTAGCGACCTCCCTCACTAAAGCCGGTCTTTTTTTGTCAGTGCTTGTATAGTCTTGCAGTGGGAATTTCTCGGCTTTTGTTTTAAATCAAAACTTATAAGAAATAGCATTCAGAGCAGTGAATACTTTCTGTGGAACCTTTGAAATATAACCTGTGGTAATGATGTTGCATTGAGGGGAATACATAGAATTGAGCTGGATAATTGTAATGCTGATTGGCATTGCAATGCATGTTGAGATGCTTGCACACACTTTA